AGGGTAACGGTTGGGTGGGGTTGGGGTGTCCAAATGGAGTGTGGTGGGTTGTGTCATCCTCCGTGGAATCAAGGAAACTGAATTCGGTGGGGGTGACGGGGTGAGAATAAGGGTAGGTATTTTCATCAAAAATAACATGACGAGATATGATGATTTTGTGAGTGAGAAGATCAAGGCATCGGTATCCCCGTTGGTTGGACGGGTACCCTAAGAAGACACATCGGGCAGAGCGAGGTGCGAGTTTATGAGGGGCGGTGGCGGATATATTGGGATAACAGAGACAACCGAAGACACGAAGGTGAGAGTAGGTGGGTTTGGAACCATAAAGGACTTCATGGGGAGTGTGATTTTGGAGTGTGGTGGTGGGTAAGAGGTTGAAAAGATGAGAGGCCATGTGTAGAGCCTCAACCCAGAAAGTAGGTGGGAGTTGGGCCTGAAAAAGAAGAGATCGCACAGTGTTATTTATGGTGCGAATAGTCCGTTCAGCACGACCATTTTGTTGGCTAGTGTGTGGACACGAGAAGCGGAAGATTATACCCAAGGGTTCAAAAATATTACGAAGGGGCGCGTTCCTGTATTCAGTTCCATTATCACACTGAACAGCCTTAATAGTAGCATTAAACTGATTTTTCACAAAGGCAGTAAATGTGTGAAGATGAGAACATGCATCAGATTTATGTTTAAGAGGAAATACCCACAAAAAATGAGAATAATCATCCAAGAGTACCATATAATGTTTAAACCCAGTAACACTGGTAATAGGCGATTGCCATAAATCAGTATGTAAAAGCTGAAAGGGAAAAGTAGAAATACGGCTCGATGACTCAAAGGGAAGACGAACATGTTTCCCCAACTGACAAGCATGACAAAGAGAGTGCTACAAATGTTTAAAAGACATGGAGGAAAGACTAGGGATTCCACGAAGGACGGCAAGGCTAGGGTGACCAAGACGACAGTGCTAGATCTCCGAGCTACCGGTGACAACGTTGACTTGGGCTTGGGCGGTGGACTGGCTCATGGGGTAGAGAGGGCCGGCATTATTGGACCGATGAATCACGGTTCCCGTCAGCATATCTTTCACAGAAAAACCAGTGGAGTCAAATTCAATAGAGAAATTATTGTCACGGGTGAACTGGCAAAAAGAAATAAGGTTGTGGATAATGTGGGGGGAGACAAGGATATTTTGTAAGTTAAGGGGAGGGGATGTGGGAAATTTATAGTTACCTATGGCCGTAGTGCGAACTTTAGAACCATTACCTACAGTGATATATGATGAAGAATTTAATGAATGAGTACGAACATGAGAAAGAGTACCTGGGTCCGAGGCGATGTGGTGAGTGGCGCCGGTGTCCATATTCCAATTTGGATCACGGAGGCTGAGGGTGTCAAAATTATGGGCTAGGGCAGTGGGGGTGTGGACACCGGTAAGATGGCTTGTGGGTGATGGTGGGGGTGTCGGGTAGGAGGAGGAGGGGGCCATCGGGTAGGGGCTGGGGTAGGGGGAGGTAAGGCCGTGGGGTGGGTGAGGGGTAGAGAAGTAGGCTTGTGGGTGTTGGGGGTGCGGGTAGGGGTTTGGCCGCGGGCCTAGAAGGCCCGGGTTCGGGTTTGGGTGGGTGAACTGTCCGGAGGGCTACCCGAGAGTGGTCCGCGCATTCGATCCAGAGCTACGACCGCGACCACGGCCCCGAGATGAACCGCCACGGTGTCGGGAGTACTGCTGCTGCTGCCCGTAGCCTCCCCCGCCGCTAGCATCTGACTGCCCGCCACCTGCGCTGCCTTGCCTCCGCGGGCCTCCACTGCCGGGCGTATAACGTCGTGCCACCATCCCCTGTGTTGCTACCGACGCCCAGTTCAGCCCGTTGTTGTTCAATTAAGAGGAGGGCCGAACGGGTTTGGAGGAAGGTCGGGGGCGGCGTTTGGTATTGAAGGAACGATGTTTGTGCTCGAAGATCATCCGGGAGGCCACGCAAGACTTGAAGAACAAGTTGTTGTTCGGAGACGGTGGCATCTACATCATCCAACCAATCCGCAAGTTGCATCGCCCAGGCCGGCTTGTTGTCGTGGAAGATGTTATAGATGGCTTTCCAAAGCTCGGATGCGGAGTTGGTTGTAGAGAGAACAAGATCACAAATTTCATCATTAACCGTGGAGAGGATCCAACCTTGTATGAGAGCGTCAAGTTGGAACCATTCCGAGTCGTCGGCGCTGGAAGGGGATGACTTGCCGGTGAGGAAATCGCCCAAAGAGAACCTTCGAATAAGAAGAAGGAAGAGTCGGCTCCACTTTTTGTAGTTGGGTTCGGAGAAGCGTAGGAGAATCGGCACATGGAGCTTCACGTTCGAGATCGTGGTGAACGCCAAGTGCGGAGTTGGAGAAGATGACGTCGAGTCGGTGACGGAAGGCTTCTCGGACATGGTGACTGGTGGGTGGTTGCTCGCCGTGGGGAGGGAGATCGCCAGAGAGAGACAGTGGCTGGGCACTGCCGATGGAGGAGAGAGAGACGGCGGCGGCTGCTGTTCGGCCGAGAGAGAGAGACGGCGACGGCACGGCTAGGGTTTTGCCTACGCTGGGTCGGACGAGAGACGGAGAGCAACGAGAGGCTCTGATACCATGAAGAATTGTTATTTTCTATTGAGAAATAACGGAGGGCGAAGCCTCGTATAAATAGTTACAGAAGATTCCTAATTACGGAAGAGAACCTATACATGTAAACTACCATAAATACAATGATCACATAATTAATATTAAATATATACATAACATATTTAACAATCAAATAATCAATGAAAATACACAAACAAACAAAAGTTATCGTGAGGTAGGTTTAAAAAATGAAATCTATTTTCGGACAGAGGGATCGGAGTAGTATGATTTACCAAAGGCATTCATCGTTCAACTAGACACGCCTCTACTATACAACAACAATGTTGGAGATAAACACACGTGGAAACAACACACACAATCACAAATCAACTGTAAAAAATAAACGACACAAGAATTAACATGGTGTGGTCGCCAACTATAACCTATGTCAACACAAGCAAGTAGGAGAATTTTATTTCATTTGTTGCTCGCAAGAAGAATGTGGAGCACCAAGAAATTTTCAACTAAAAACTTTTTGAAGTCGTCTAATTCAAAATGTTTTTATGTCGCTTTTGCCGCCATATTTTTCTGACAAAACTTTTCTTCTGTGTCAATTCAAGATAGAGCTCTGTTTGGTGCTCCACATTCTTTTCTCTATTTTTACTCCGTAGCATTGCAATTGCTTACTCTTTAATACATTTGCACCACTTTTGACCCTACAGTTATTCGTTTTTAAACAGACATGACTTTTGTACACTTTTACAATTATGAACAAAAACATATAAAAACAAATGAGAACTTGTCTTGATCTTAACAAATGTATAATTCCTAGAAGTAATTGTTTTTTTCTAAAAGATACGCATACATAAATTTTATTGGCTAAATGCAAAAAATTGATCCATCTATATAATTGGATATTAATTAATGTCTAAAATAAAAGAACTCTAAGTGTTTCACAATAACTCTAAAATAATTTAAGGTCAAATATATGTACGTTGGTAAATTTTGAAAATAGTTTTAATGAAAATACCATTAATTCCTATGCAAGGAGTAAGTTGAAATTTTTTTTGGCTTTTTTTAAATCCACAACTTTATATTTTTGACAAGAACCGTCAATTTTACGAACGAGGCACCGGAGCGCCCTCGAGTCATCCCATGACATTGGTTCCCAATGTCATGGGAACCTTGGTGTTTATTTACACACACTTTTGACTTGTTATCTTCTAACTAAACTTGGTCTCAACAAAATGTGCTTTCAGACTATTATTTTTATTTTTTATTTTTTTTTTAATTTTTTTGGATTTTTTAACCCGAAAACATACAATGCAATCATTGAAAAATCAAATTTTCAAAAAAGTATATTGCTCATACTCAGTTTGAAGAAGTGGAACATCACCCTTGGACTTTCAAAACAAGTTATAAATGTTTAACTTTAATGTATTTTACAAGTTAATGTTAATTCACTAAAAAAAATTATTTTGTTAAAAACATTAGTATCCAAATTTAATTTGTTTATTTACTAAATTATAAAATTTAGCCAATAAAAAGAATACATGTATGCAATTTAAAGAAAAAATTTAAAAATTTTGGCTACTTTTTTACTAAGGGGTTATTTAAAATAATTCTACTTTTGAAAAGAATAAAAAGTGTTTATTTTTTTTAACATGTATCAAGAGTGGTAACTGGATCGATTCAAAGTATTTGGGAGTAGGCAGAATGCTGCCAATTAGGTACTCTTAAGCTCAGTGAAATAAACCTTTGTACAAAATGACCCATTAGGAAGGGTGGGATCAGACAAGTTCAGCTCCCAAGGGCATCACTCTTTGTGTCTATTAAGTACCATTCTAGCTTAGATAGTCATTGTGCACACGGTACAGAGATCACTCTTAACACAAAATGCAACAAAATGTTCTAAAATATTTTCAAAAAAATTTCTGCAATCGAAAGGGTGAAAAAGAAGACGATGGAAGCGGCTACATTAGAGAGGCTGAAAGAGGTAAACTTTTAATTTATAACAAACTGTAACTTTTTCAATAAGGGGGGGCGGTTCGGAGATTCAGGATACGAGCAAAAGAAAGAAGAAGGATAGGCATGCACTTGTTGGAGATGGAGATGTTATTGGTGATCTATTAAAGTTCTTGAAGTTTTTATAATGTTGTTATTGATGATGATTTAGTAGCTTGTTGGAGATGGAGATGTTCTTATTCGTGATTTATTAGTTTATTGTTTGTGATGTTGTTAGTAGCTTATTGTAGAATGTAGATGTTGTTATTGCTGATTATTTTAGTCTTATTGATGTTCTTATTGTTCGTGATGTTGTTAGTAGCTTGTTGGAGATGTTCTTATTTTTAGTGATGATTTTAGTCTCATTGATCTACGATGTTCTTGTTATTACTGTTCTTGTTGTTCTTATTCATGTTCTTGTTATTGTTATTGATGTTTCTAGTATGTAGCTCTTGGGTAAAGTTGTTGAAGTTGTTATTGTTATTATTATTGTTGGTATTTGTGTCCTTGTTGTGTTATGGTGGCGTGAAACATGAAATAACAACATACAACATACACTTAGAAGCTAGGCCTGAAATATGCAACATACACTTTTTTCAAACTCTCTTGCAGTTCTTTTCTTATTGTTGTTGTTTGTGGTGTTCATAACTAGTTGGGTGACCTTATTGTGTTACTATATGCTCGATTTATTGCTCTTTGTGATTGGGCTATCAAGAATGGGCTTGATGTCACTAACACTGAAATCGGGTACTCCCTAGTCCAAGGCCGCAATGTGAAAAATCGTGTACAAGGAGTCGGTGACTACGAGCGTAAGATGAGAAAGTTGAAGTCATCATCCATCCATCGCCGCTCTAGCTCCTCTGCAAGTAAGAAAAGTGAAATGGAGATCCTCAAAGAGCAGAAAAACGCCTCCAAGAATAGGTTGAAGCCCTAGCCTCTAAATTCACAACAATCCAAGAAGATCTAAAGAGGTTGTACGGTAATAACAACCCTCCTCGAGACGATGATGGACTGGGGGTCAAGGCAAACAGAGGCTATTTGTTAAAGTAATTGAATTAGAACATTTGATTGTAATGGTTTTTATACATACATTACATTAACTTAAACATTTGTACTTGTTTTACTTTAGAATGAGAAATTTATTTGACGTTTATATTTATAACTTGTTTCTGGTTTTATTGAGGATTTGCTTTTGGTTATCTCCCCACCCTGTGAATGGTATTCTGTGTTTTGAAAAAAGGCAGATCGGTAGAAAAATCAAGTCTTGGTTTTCTATTTTTTAGAAGCTGTAGAATAGCAAGCCCGGGTCTGTAATATCACTCTCTCCAACAGATCTGCGATGGGAAAATCTATTCGTCGCATATGAGGAACATATGCGACGGGTGAACATTTCCGTCGCATATTTTGGCAGGCCTATTGTAAATAATGGCTCTACTACAGTTTTCTCAGATCTGCAACGGAAATTTGTTGTCGCAAATTTTGCATAATGTCGTAGTGTATGTTTTAAACTAGGGGTTTGTCTGCATACATTCGACCCCCTTACCCCGCAATGGGCGGGAGCCATTGAGGCGCTGGGGTAATGTTTTTGTTGTACATTTTCCCCATGCTTGTGTTTCCTACCTGTTTGTCTAGATCATGGCCTAGTAGGTGATATTGTTGTTCGTCAGCCCAAGACCAGACCGAACCGGACCGACCTGGACCGGACCAAAGATCGAATTGAATAAGATCACGGACCGAAGACCGGACCTAAATCTATTTGTGGACCAACATACTTAGGACCGAACCGGTCCGGGCCGACTAGACTAAATAAAAATACATAATTTTTAATTATTTTAATCAATTAAATATCGTTTAGGCTTTGACTTTGTACCATTCATATAGAAACAGAATAAAAATAATAATAGGTAACCTAAAAATAGATACACAATATGAACTACTTATGTGTATAATCATAAACACTACTATAAAACGTTTTTTTAGATTTTTTAAAATTACTTAATAAAAAACCTTTTTAATTAAATAAATTAAGATACCTATTAAAATAGAGCATCAAAGTGTAATACGGAACATAAAAAGTAGAGTTCTAGTATTTTGGTCTTTTAGGTCTAGTAGGGTCATTAGGTCAATTCGGTCTGTTCGGTCCATTTGGTCCGGACATAAATCATTTTGGGTTTGGACCGGACCGGATCAAAACCTGAATGCCTAAACTTTATGGATCGGAGACTGATCTGAAATCCATTTAGTCTGGACTTAATCGTCCGGTTCAGTCAGTTTTTTTGATTCAGACCTAAATATGAACAGTCCTAGTGGGCGGGGCCCATTATAATAATGTCTTTTGATTGAAAAAACATAAAATATGATTACAAACAGTGTGGTTGAAAATAACGTACAGACAATAGTATTATGGATGTCTAAGTGTGGGCCCATTGATTAGACGGGACATACAGGCTCTCATGCCCGTTGTGGGCCCACAGTGCTTTGTTAGCGGTAGAGGCCGAGTGCACAGGCTCTGTCGACAGACGAGTAATGATCTGCCAGTCTGGCCCATGGTTTGAGTGGATGTATCGAGGCTGAGTTGGGCCGCTTGTTGTTCCGTTGAATTTGATACCCCTAGTCCAGGGTATCCATCAATAAGTCATAAAAATGTAAGTATAAACTTTTAGGATACATTTTTGGGGTATAATTTTTGAGGTAAACCATGCATGGTTATTCTTTGACTATTTAATGATAATTAAATACTAAAGTCTTTGAGTGATATTTAAACTGATCCTTTATAATAGGGGTTTTTTCATATATAGTCATCTATTATCAAATATTACGCCAATGATCCTTTTATGGCCCGAGTACCTTTCCATTAATTGTCCTTTTTTGACTTGCTGACATGTTGATATAATTTGAGGGCTAAAAGTGTAATTTGACATCAGTCTCATGTCCAATGATGTACTCAATGCTGATGTCGGCTAGACGGATAACACAACAATAATGACTATGGCTCTGGATTAGGATTTCAACCATACACGATATCGGTAGATTATTGTTGTAGTTGATATCGACTGCTTCACGAACGACGCATCAAGAGCGACCTCTGACATTAGGCATGGAAGAAGGGATATATGATCATTGTGGAAGTATACTTTTTTTGCCTTCAAATAATTAATACCAAAATGACAGAAGATAAAAAAATGATCATTTGTAGATAGAAATTTTGCATAAAAGAAGAATTAAATGCGTAATAATTAATAATAAAAGACTAAATATAAAAAACCATTGTCATAAAGGACTAATTATAAAATGAAAAATTTACCTAAATAGGACTAAAGCATAATGCCTTTTCAAAATAGGACCATATGTTTTTATTTCTCAATGTAGGACCATCAGTCATTATCTATTAATTAATATTCAAGTAAATGTCCCCCGTCACTAGACATTATTTCTCCTACTAGACATTATTAAATCATATTTAGAAAGTAAAAAAAATTTAAGTCCTACATTGAAAAATGACTTATGTTTTAATTCTATTCACTGTAAATTTTTCTAATAAAAATTATTACTCCCTCCATCCCAAAAAAATTTACACCTTTCAAAAAAATTGTGTCCCACAATCTCTTACACATTTCTACTAAAAAACCACTTTTATCCCTTTTAAAAACCACTTTTAAAAACCACTTTTATCACTTTTATCCCTTACTTTTTTAAACCACTTTTAAAAACCACTTTTTTAAACCACTTTTAAAAACCATTTCTATTAAAAACCACTTTTATCCCTTACTTTTTTAAACTCTACCTATCACATCATACCTTTTCCCTAATAATCTACACATCACATCCTACTTTTATCCATCACATCAAGGGTATTTTTGGAAAGTCAACACAAAATTATCCCTCCTTTAATTTTAACTTTAGTCAAAATGGGTAACACTTTTATGGGACGGAGGAAGTAATTTTTTTTAGATACGACTAAACTAATACGAGTATGTTTAAGGAAGAAGGCTTATTATAGTAATTTTTAATAACTCCGTACGATAATGGATTGCGGCGGGGTGGAAATATGTGGTCGGAGAGTGGGAACCTCCATTTTCATCCGTCAGCCATTTTATACATTTCAAGACTAGAGTTCGGCACCCCGTCCACGTGTACTTGCGGGCCGGGTCAAGTCGTTGTTACTAATATATTTCTGCACGAACTAATTAATTAAAGAGATGGATCGGAAATGCTCGTCGGTCTCACTTTCCTCTGTCATTTTCCCATGCATGACGTCAACAACAAGTCTACGTTGGCGGGGTCGATTATATACTCCCTCCGTTCCTTTAAACACTTCCACTTTTGACTTTTGGCAAAAATAAGGAAAGTGTAATTTGGGTTGACTTTCCAATTTTGCTCCTGATGTGATGGGTAAAAGTAAGATGTGATAGTTTGTTTATTAGGGAAAAAGTATGATGTGATAGGTAGGGTATGAAAAAGTAAGGGTAAAAGTGGTTTTTTAATAGAAAGTGGAAGTGTTTTAAGGAATTCAAAAAAAACGAAAGGGGAAGGGTTTAGTGGAACGGAGTATATTCCTTCGCAGGGAAGTTCAGTTTATTGGAGAGACTGATCGATCAATTCCCCGGCCACGCACTCTATATATATACGGAGTATATATTGTTTTCTGATCTGTAGCATTATACAGCTAGCTAGCCAGGTATAGTATACTAATAACATTATTTAGTGCTTTAATTAATTTTCAACATTATGTTTCCGGATCATTCAATTTTTTCTATGAGGGGGGAAAGCATATGCCAAATTGCTACTTTAATTATCATAATAAAGAGTAATGTCATTTTTCAATTTCAATCATTTAAACTATTTTATAATTTAATACATTTATTATAATTTATTTTAATACTATTAACTCTATTACAATGTACGGAGTAAAATTGTTTTAGTTATTTTGTCTTATTTATTTACTTTAATTATTACGGAGTATTACAATTTTAAGGTTAAATGATATCTCCCTCAGCTCTCAGAGGATTTCTTTACTTTTATTGCTACAAAAGCCATCCTTTTTCCTACAGTATTACGGAGTATATTTTTGTACTTCAATTATAAATTATCTCTGGATTTTGCTTTTCGATTTTTAATCTCTTAGAAATTATTGTTCGTCTTTATAGTAAATTTTCTCTAGATTTTGCTTTAATTTTCCTTTTTTCATATGTCTGAAATTAAAAAGGTGTGCACGCTTAAGCATCTGAAAATTTAGTTAATATAATCCACAGTTTTCTCCGTAACATTCTTTCCATCGCACACTAACCGTACAGTTTGATTATTTCTTCAAATTCAGCTAAACGAATCTTAATTATCAATACTTGTCGAGTTTGACTAAAAATATCAAATTGAATCAATACTCTAAGATGGAGTTGAGGTAGTACATTTTTTTAATTTTTTTTATTAATGTGAAAGGTTGATGGGGATAAAAAAGTTGGAAGAAGTCGAAATGAGTTTACAAATTGCTAAAAAAATGGAAGAAGTCCAACAAATACGATGTATAACATTTTTGAAATTTTATGTTTTCATTAAAATAATACTCCCCCCATATCATAAAGCATTTAACTACCACTTTCGTTGAAAAAGAATTAGAAAATAATGCAACTCGTATGTGAGAAGGCCAACAAAAAATATAAAAATATTAATTCCACCGAAGAATCACTCTTCAAAATTTAGATATAGAACCTTATTCTATATTTGTCATCATTGTACATTAACAAGCTAAGCTACATAGTGATAATTTTAGGTACACAAACTAAAAAGACGTGCATGCTTTTAACTATATGGAAAGTTGTTTATATAATTCACAGTTTTTCTACGTAAAAATTGTTCGTAGGTCATTACTAAAGGGAACAAAATGTTGAAATAAAAGATTGAAAACACGACCAGAGGAAGAAAAGTAAATGAGGACCAAATTTAACATGAATCTTTTTTGTAGGTAATTTGATTCGTCCTTTGGGTGTTTTCGTACGCGGCAGTTGGGGAGTTGATGGAACCTGAGGAAACACAGGTGTGTGTTGGTCCCCCTGTTAATGACATAAAATGGCTGCTGACAGAGTGCGCGAGAGCACTTGACGAAAACAAACTACATGATTTTGACATACTGGTGGAACACACACGTGGGGTTGTGTGCATCACAGGGGATCCCATCCAGCGCCTTGGGGCCTACATGATTGAAGGTCTAGTTGCAAGGAAAGAGGCTTCAGGCAGGAACATTTGTAGGGCACTCAGATGCCACGAGCCTGCAGGGACGATGAGGGACTTACTGTCCTACATGCACGTCTTGTACGAGACATGGCCCTACCTAAAGTTCGGTTGCATGGCTGCAAATGGCGCCATTGCGCGGGCATGCAGAGGCGACGACCGCATTCATATAATAGACTTTCAAGTCGGGCACGGGAGCCAGTGGATGACACTCCTACAAGCCTTCGCCACGAGGCCGGGCGGGGCCCCCTACGTGCGCATCACCGGGATCCAGGATCCGCTTTCTTCTTACTCGACGCATGGCGTAGGTTCCATGGTAGGCGAACGC